TTTTTCCTTGCCGCTGTCGCCAAAGTGCTTGCTCATGGTGGGAAATGTTGGGTCTCTGTAAATAATGCTATAAGGAGTTCGGTCTAGACCTGCTCTATTTGAGTGTCCTGAGATAACTTCTGTTATGAATTGTCACTATACAAATAGAATTTAATTGAATTGAATTAAATGTTACACAATGGACCTACATTAAGTACTTGAGTAAATGGACTACCAAAAAATGTCTGTTCTGGTCTATTATAGAAACTTGGCGGTGCAACATGGGTAGATATAAAATTGCAGATATAAAAGGCTTATTGTAAGTTAACTAAAACACAACAATTCCCATATTTTGGTAATTATTTGCTAATAAAAAGATACCTATGAATATTATATTTCATCCACCTTCAAATATAGAGGTATATGTTGCCCAAATTGCTGCAAATACCTTGCTTCTGTTTTCACTATTTTGGTGGCAGTGTTTGTCTTTTAAAACACATTAATGCTTATACATAAGATGATAACTAAATAATAATGCAAATGCATTTTCTGCAAATATATGTACAATTTATGCCAAAGGGTTGGGTAATTGACCAGCCAGCTAATTGATATTCCACACTAAAGTCTCTTAGAATTCATTTTCTGCTGTCTAAGAACCTGTGCAGAGCAAACAAAGCCGCAGTAAGGAGGCTATATCACTGACAACCTGGTTGAATAGGCTTGTGTCCCCTACACTCAGAGTCCTTTTGGGTTTTTTTTGTTGTTTTTTTTGCTTAAGATGTCTTTTAATGTATAAGAGCAGGGTTTTCTACAAAGAACATCCAAGAGAGCACCTGCGTTTGATTTCTGGGCCTGCAATTTCCCTCATTAGCTGTATATTCAATTAGGCTGCGCGTCCCCTGTATTGTACAGCTAAGATCTGGGTCAAACACTCAGGTCACTTTAAAGAGCTTGAGTACTCTATCCTTAGCGTCATGTTTGATATTAGACAACTGGCTGAAGATTACCATCAAACACTTGTGACGGATCTTGAGCTAAATGAAAATGACTTCCTGATTAAATGTTACTCATCCTACAGTCTACTGACCTCAACAACTCACCCACACTATACAAGTCTGACAGGTACAACATCTGTCCAACAGCATATCTGTACACAAAACAAAAAAAACAAAAAGGAGAAACATCACACTAAGAAGATCTTGTCAGTTCAAGACATACTCAGCAGCTAAAGGCTGAAGAGTCTCATCAGACTAGGAAAAAGACAAAACAGGGAAACATTGATGAAAGCAAGTCAGAAGATTACTGTTAGATGCTACATTGCCGTAAGTGTTAATTGTATATTGCATAAATATGCAATGTTTATGATGAAAGATAAAAATTATGTTTAGATTTTTGATGATTTTTTTAACTTCTATTTCCCTTTATCAGGTGCAGTCATATACAGATTCACACGTTCAAGGATACAACACAGGTGTAACACCTCTGATTTTCTATCTAAAATATGTCATGAAGGTCAAAGTTTCTGTAACTCTTTACCAGGTTGGGGTAGTCCAGACCAGGGACTGCTTCAGGAAGACCAGGGACTGCTTCATTTGCCTCCTCATCATTGATCTTTTCCTGTTTGGTTAAATCTACCAGAGGTATTAAATACCATTTGGCGTTGCTCTCAGGGTCACTGGAATACACAAGCCTCTCCACCACATCAAGGTTTCAGTCCAGGTTACGAGGGGGCACAGCCAGGGGGATCTCGAAAGAACCACCAAAAACCAAGTGAGGTGGAGGAAATTTGTCAATGGTCCCTATAGGAGCAAAGGGCTTAGGTCAAGTAAGCCATGTCTTGAAGGTGTTCTGTGACATTTACACAATTAATTATCCAAATGTAAGAAAATGCAAGGGGCTAGTGTTGCTTCTCTAACTGGTGAGACCTTGAAAGACATTCCAAAAAGCCCAATTTGAGCAATAGAGTAAAAGAGTTAAAAGACTTGTCAGAAACCAAAACTCTGCACAGTGGTTGAAAATACTTTTATTTTATCTTTCAGCATAACAATTGCAAGGTGGAACAGTTCAATTCAATTCATTTCAATTACATTTTATTTGTATAGCGCCAATTCATAACAATAGTTATCTCAGGACACTTTTCAAATAGAGCAGGTCTAGACCGAACTCCTTATAACATTTACAGAGACCCAA